ATAAACAATAAAACAAATGTAGATATATTCTTTTTTTTATATATAAATAACAGAGGGGTCTAACTAACGTAGATATCTTAAAGAGAATCATTTAATTATAATGAAGGTACTTGAGCACGAGCATCCACTAAAGCTTATCGATTTACAGCTGCAGTATCTACCATGCCCTTTTACAGTTGTGCGGAGAGTTGCAATGACTTTGCTCTCCATGAGTGGTGCACTCGACTCCCCCAAGAAATACAAAACCACCCAGATCACCCACAACATACCCTTGTTCTCATGTACACCATGATGATGATTCCCCGTTGCTTTTTTTGGTGTATCCTATTGTAATGTTTGTCGTTTGCCTTGCAACAGATTTGCGTATTGTTGTGTCGAATGTGGATACTATGTGGATGTTACCTCAGGGGCGGATCCAAGGGGATCCCGGGGTAGCCCGGGATACCCGTCAATTTTTTTTCGGTAGTGTAATTTTTGTTTACGTATCCCTCAAAAAAAAATGGTATAGTGTATATATACGCATCCATCCACTTATAAATGTAAACAAACAGTTGGTTTGCTAGTTAAGACATTGGCTTATTCAAGCAAAGGTCTTGAGTTCTATTCTCGCTTCTTATATATTCTTTGTTTATTTTTGTTTTATTTTCCCAGCTATTCTATCCCACATCGTTAAACACATGTAAACTCAACTATTTTTTTCTATTATATAAACTTGTTATGCTTATGCTTTATTTGATATCTACTTTGAGTCCCACATTGATTCAAGTATCAAAATATACTTCAACTTCATGTTTATATAACAAAACTTGAGGTTAGCTAAGGATTCAATTAAGATTTGGGTTTAAAACCGAAACCGAACCTAGGAAATCCAAGTACCCCGGGAAAAAATTAGATTACCCTAAAAAAAATTGGGATACCCTTTACCTTGATCCTGGCTCCACCACTATGTTACCTATGGATTTATACCCAAAGAAATCACACATAAAGCTCACCCCAATCTTATTCTTTCAATAGTTATGGATTTATACCCAAAGAAATCACACATAAAGCTCACCCCAATCACATTCTTTCAATAGTTTCGACACATTCTTTTGAAGTGCCTTGTCATATATGTCTCCAAACAGTGGCGGAATCAAGAATTTTGATATAGATGTACAAACATTATCAATATATATTATATATAGTTATCCATTACCGGGCATTAAAAAACATGTTATAATCTCTTTAGTTGGTGGTACAATAACATGAAACATGTTTACAAATAATACTTTTTATAGATATAAAACAATTTTTTGGGGGTACTGTAGTACCCTCAACACCCCCATCTAGCTCCGCTAGTGTCTCTAAAGACTTACTTGGGATCCTAGCAATTATCCCGAGTATCATTTTTCTTCTATAAAATATAAGCCTTCATTCGGTTGCAAAATATGTGATATTTATATACATCCCGAATGTGCTTTGTTATTACCAGAGACACTCACACACAAACATGAGAAGCACCCCATGCATCTAAGTTACCTCCCAATCCAGGACCATAAGAGCGAATACTTTTGTGAAATTTGTGAGGAGGATTTGAACCCTCATGCATCTTTCTATCATTGTCATGATTGTGTTCAGTCTATACATACTCCTTGTTCTCCACTAATACTTAAGTGTGAGTCTCATACCTATACCAGTCATATCAGAGGCATTCAACAATTTGTAAATGTAAAGTTCGGAGGCATTCATTACCCTGGTGGTCACCCACACCCTCTCTCATTTGCTCAAGGTATTGTATCTGATGGGTCAATGTAGTATGTGTGGTGAGAAATTACAGTACAAAATGATCTTTAAATGTCTTGAGTGCAACCTTGCAATTGATTACCAATGTGCGTATTTGGATCTTATGAAGCTTTCGGGTTCTCCTGTACGTTTCTCAATACGTTTCTCAAACTATAATATGATTTGTAACTGTCATTGCTCTTTCCTGTATATATATCCCTTTTTATGCGTAAGACAATATAAATAAATAAATAAAAACAGAATTATATTGTGTGCATGTTAACCCTTGCAATCCTTTTGTTCATGTTCATCCCTACTAATTCAAACATCTATTTATAACTATGAAATTAGTTAACTTGCCATATTCTTTATTAAATATGTTTCTGGTTATAACATATTAACATACATTTGAGGAATAATGGATGATCATAATGCATCTCCAGTTTTTTGTATTATTTCAAGAATGGAGTTAGTCCAGGCTAATAACCAGTGTTTAGGTTTTGTTTTTGTTTTATTTGTGCTGTTTCTGTGTCTCCGTAAACAATGCATGATAATGGAATCAAACAAAAAAGAAAGTGCTTCTGTTAGGATGGAACGATTGAAGAAGCAGATTTGCCTCTGATATATAGATGATGAACAAAGAATAAACTCACATTTAACAAAATAAGCATAATTCATGCTCTGAAATCGCACATACATAATAGAAAAGAAGTGGATCAGATCTCAGTTCCTTAACTGTGTTAGGGCGGAGAGGATGAAAGCGAATCCAACCAGGATGCCGGGGATCGGTAAGGAGACGGCGGCGCCTGCAGCGGGAGATGGAGCCGGCGACATTGCAACGTCCTGCGCTGAAACGGGCGAGGCCAGAGCTGCGATGAAGAAGGCGACTAGGAAGACCTTGACGGCGGTGGAAGTAGTAGGGCCAACCTGCGCCATTTGAAAGATTAAATTACAACAAAAAGTTAATTTTCTGTAGCGATGACAAATTACAATTGAATTTGAGTGATGATGATGAGGAAAACTGAGAGGTTATTTATACATGAGAAGATCACAATAATTAGAGTGTGAATGAAGGTGACAGCACAACGGCAATGAGTGCGTGACAGCGGAGGTCGGAAGGGGCGGTGGAACTTATTTTTCAGGCTTCTTTTGCAGTTTGCACGTTACGACAGTGGAGCTCAAGTATGCGCAATCATAACCCTGGTGAAGTCAAAATGAAATAAAAGTATACTCATAAATTTATAATTATATTCTTTCCATTTAATATCTTAAATGTAATTACTTTCCTTCTTTATAAATCATCATAAATTTAGGAGATACATATCGAAAAGAAAATCATTTGGATGTCTCTCCGTTAAAAAGTGGGTCTTTTGTATAAACAAAAATAACAGATAAACCGATAATAATTGTTATAAAATCAACCTAAATAAAAACTGTCACTAATCTGTGACTATATTGCCAGTAATTCGTCACTAATACTAATATACTTAAAAATATTATGGACCATCTAAACGACACGGGTTTGTGCGATTGCACACCCCACAGATGTCCATATTAACCTTACTGCATCGAGTAATCAATGATGAACATTAAAAATCATGTTCAATTGTCACGAAAATTAAAATTATCCTTTCACAGAATGTGATTCCTTTCTCAAGGATTTTCATTTCATGAGGAATGGTATTTATTTTCATTTCATGGAATATATGTAATAACTATAAATTACCTTCATTTATTTATTCAATAATTTTAGTTTTTATAAAATTTAAAATTTCATGTAAATACTTTTTTATTTTAAAAATTAAATAAAATATAGAGTATCATAATTATATTTCTTGATTTTATTGTATATTTTTCTTTTCGTTTTGTAATTTTTCTTTGATTTTAAATAATTCTTTCTAAAAAAACATGCTAAACTTAAATTTTGGATTCCATATTTTGGATTTTGCCTTTTGGACAGGAAAAAAAAGTACTCCTAAATTTAAAAAAATATGTATTCCGGTAAACAAATTCACAATTTCGGAATATATATATATATATTATATATATATATATATATATATATATATATATATATATATATATATATATATATATATATATATATATATTTTGATTGAAATAAATCTAACCAAAAAAATTTATAACAAATAAGTAGATAGGATATCATGGATGACATTTTGTAAAAGTTTCAGTTGTATTATACATTTTAAATTTTAGAATTAGTGTATTTCTAAAAAATGGACGCAACCAAAGAAAAAAATTGCATATCGTATGTTATTGAAATTCAAAAATAGTTCATATTTGTATTATTATTATATATTATTTATTCATGTAATTTATTTGTACATGTGGGCCCATGGCTTTGGCCCAATCCTCTCATTGTAGTATTTTTAATTTTTTATTTGGGTTATGTTTGACGTACTAGCTGAAAAGCTAGTTGTTAAATAAAAAACTAGTTGATAGTTGAAAAACTAGCTGACAAAAAATAAAATTTGGTAAAACTAGCTGAAAGGATATGTAGGAGTATGTGTTTCTATAATTAATTAAGGGACGTATTTGGAAAATTTTTAAAAAGCTCCTAAAAAGCTAGTTTAAGTAGTTTATAAGCTAACTTAAAAGCTACTTTTTGGCTTACCAAACACGACAACATAAAAAAAACTCGAAAAATAAGTTAACTTATCAGCTAGCTGTGAAACGCCAAACTCAACCTTATTGTTCATGGGAAAATAATAGAAATGATGGTCATTAATGTAAATACTAAAAAACAATCATTTTATTTATCTTTAAGATTATAGTGATTTGTTACATTATTTTTCTTGCTGTAAATACTAAAAAACAGTCTGTTAATTTAAATACTAAAAAACAGTCTTTTTTTTCTGCCACCTAATTATCATTTCTTAGCATTTAGCATTTTATAGAGAGTAGTTAGCACTCCTCACACTCCTTGTTTTTTTTTTTCTCATTTTCTTTTCAAACTTAAATAAATTATATTTTTTTAAAACACAAACAATTAATATTAAATAAATTACATTTTTTTTAAACATAAACATTTCATATTAAACTAAAAGATAGCAATAAATTTAAATTTAAAATACTTAAAAACACGATTTGATACATTAAAAAAAAAATTAAAAGAAAGTTTTAAAAAAATGGTTAAAAGCTTAAGGGTGGTCAAAAGTTCCAACAATCAATCAAAGCCTTCTCCCCTTCTCCTCTCCTCTCCTCTCGGTGAGCAGCTAGCGACTTCTGGTGGCAAGCCCCCTAACACGAGCCAGAGGCGGTGTGTAGCAAGCCATGTATGCCGCCCCACTCCTGTTAGCCTAAAAATTATGTTGTCGTTTTTGTGAGTATCCCAATACATTGATATGTTGTTTTATTAAGAAATTGCATCTTTTTTTAAACATAAATCTTCCATGCCTTAACACACTCTAACATAAGCTTGTTGTGCAAGGTACTAAATTTGAATATGGAAATAATCATATCTCTAAGTTTGTTTATATACTTTTAATCTAAAGCATAGTCTTCTTACTAGCATTAAATAACAAAATGAAAGTAATTTGTTTCGTAATTTATAACACCTAATAAAGATTCCCCATAGCAATATAAAAGAGAATGAACAAACAGAACCAAACAAGAGACACAGAAAGTTTGTTTGACAAGATAATATAAGAATTGTGTACTAAACTCTAAATTAGATCACATCTACTTAGATTTCTTAGATTTCTTAGAACCCTTGCGTTTTTCCAGTTTTACCCTTGCAGCTTCAAACTCTTCTTCAGTAGGCTCTGAAGACTCTCCCCCTCCACCATACTTACCAACCAGAGACGAAAACATAGCATCCAAACGCCCTTTTCTCTCACTTTGCCTCTGTGAAATTATAGCATACAAATCATCCGATTCTTTCTTTGACCTGTCAATAGTCAAACATCATCATATCACTTTCATTTATCAAAACCATAATCCCAAAAAAAAATATATTATATTAAAAATTACAGAAACAAATGACTCACTTCCCCCTTCGCCTCAATGGATCTGTAGGTGGTTTTGTTTCAGAGACTTGCTTAGCCCATTTCTGGTAGGATTTGGTCAACTTCAGGTCTCCTACAAGTCAACATCAAAAAAAGTAACAAAAATGGGGTTTCTTTTTTCCTTAATGAAAAGAAAAAAAAAAAGTACAGAAAGAATTATATAAATCTTACCAGATGAAATTGCTTCATCTAATATATCTTTGAATCGATGTGAATCAAGTTTAGGATCTGAGCATAGCATGGAGCAGAATAGCCTGTGAAAGATTAAAGAGGTTTTTAGAAAATTAATCTCATAATGAAATGTAGAGCATATGATAAAGAAAAAGGTTATACCTGTTCATATGACCTTTGTACTTCTTGTAAAGATCAATCAAATCATTTTTCTCAGAATCAGATCCTCTGTAATTCGATTCAAACTCTTCAATATCAGCTTCTGTAACCTACAAAGCATTTGTATTTTCAACTTTATTACCTAAAATACAGTAAGGATTTTAATTTGTGCATATATTCTAAAGTTTAATGAAGAAAACCTTTTTGTACATAGATCGGAAGAAGTCCTTCAAGTTTTGAACCACATCACCAGCAAGTTCCTGTTTAGTGAGAAAAACAAAACCATGAGTGCAACTCAAAAAATGTGATATAACATTAGTTTCAGTTAAATTTTGTTAAGAACTTACAGCATCATCAACACAGCCAGTTTGATCATAAAGTGCTCGTTTTTCTTCATCACCAAGTATTGATATAACTTTCTGCAGTTGTTGAAATTTCTCTTTGGCATCCTGCATGTGAATGGGAGGAGATTAAGAACATGTTATGATAACACAAGAGTTTATTAGAGGATTAAATGGTAAAACAAAAGATTGATTTTTTACCTCGTCGTTAGGATTCTTGTCTGGGTGTAGACGTAATGCCAGCTTATGATATGCCTTCTTTATTTCCTGTTGGGATGCTGTCCTTTCCACCCCAAGAATCTACACAGCACATAGTTTTATAAAGTTTGCTTAGCTAGATTGTTATGAGGATCTTCAACCCTAAGTGTAATCATCTACTATGAATTGGGATTCTCGTATACAAGCAGCAATTCCCTTTTAGGGTTAGCCGATCGATTGAAATTGGTATAGTACAGTACTTCATTCAAATAGAATTAGCAACGAACGGAACGGTAAAGAGTAAATAAAAAAGGATATCGATCTAAAGAAAACTAGGGTTTCACCAAGAACAATAAAGTTCAAATAATCGACAAATAGTATCTTTTGTGGTGATATCTCATGAGCGGAGTGTATCTCATAAGAGCCCTAATCTAATAGGAAATGAAAATTTGAAAAATGCCCTAAATCAAAGAGCAAAGTGTCACAGTTTGGCTTTCTCGAAATATAATCAGTTACGCAGTTTTTTCAAGCATTCGAGTCTAAGATCAGGTAAGATACCTCGTACAAGCTCTTATCATTCGAAGAGGATGAAGATTCACCGAGATTTTCTTGATTTTGTTCATCTTCTTCTATGTTTTCTTCATGAACCGCGGATTTCTTTCGTTTGCCCATTTGAAGGTAGAGAACGCTATACTATAAGACTACGCAATCGAAGTCAATAAGATGATATACAGAGATATAGTGGAGCGTTTAACGGAATGGATGACGAAATTGCAAAAGAGAAACTTTAAGACGGGTCGTGGTGGGTTTTCCCGCCATCATAATCTAATTCCCGCCATGGTCGCTGTTCTCTTTCTCCATCACTTTTTATAAAGTTAAGGGAGTTTCCACAGAAGATCTTTGATTGTTACGTTTATTATTTATCACCTAATCTTAATTTTGGTAGGGGATGTAATATTTCTAGCATTTTATTTTTATATTTTCTTTTTTTAATTTAATTGAATTACTTTATTTATATATAAATACTTTTTTTGTGCATAAATATTAAACAACTTTTATTTTTAAAAAAAAAACAATTAATATAATATAAATAATATTTATAGAGGTTGGATTGAATATTTTGATTCTTATTATTTTATAAAAGCGTTTTTTTAATACAAGGTGGTATAACTAGAGGAAACAAAAATATCTTTTATAAAAATTTAATATAAAGAATATATTAGCAGATCTTTTTAATCTAATTAATTTTAATTATTAAAAAAAGTTAATTCACGTATTAGCCCATCTTGAAGCTTAATCCACCCCATATAAATAACTCAAAACCCCAATTGATTTTCAGCCTCCACTCCAAAAGTCGATCATCTCTCTACATCAACCAAACCCCAAATCTCAATTCTAGCGTCCACTGATTTGATCACATTTTCTCAATGGCTAGGTTGCAAGTTTGTAGGCGTTGTTAATATGTTTTTAACTTCTTTTTTTTCATCTTTGGAACCTGAGGTTTGTACCATCGTGACCCGATGAGATGCGACCAATCACAGTGCTGCTTTGTTTCTCTCTCTTCTCGCCAAACCCCTGACGAGTGTCTGTTAGCAACCCTCCTAACTAGTTGTAGGGGGTGGTGTTTGAAGATTGTTAGCGAGCTTAGCGAGGCCTGTGGCGACCTCCACTCCGCTTAGCCTAAGGTATTTTACGATCCGTTTCTTCGTTTATTTAGGTCGAATCAAAGCCAAACCGTTACTAACGGTTTTTGTCAAGTAATAACCGAAGCCGAACAGTTGAAAATTTAAAACCGAACCAAACCAAATCATTACTAACGGTTTGTCTCCGATTTGGTTTCACGGTTTGGACTTTTAGGCCCACTTTAGTCGAGTCTGTTAAACTAATTCAATAAAAAAAAATGCATTGTTAAAGGTATTATAATAGTTAAAATTCTGTCAAATATTGTTAAAAATAATGCAATATTAAAGCTTTCAAAATAACAAAAATTCTCTTCCAAACACATAGCTTTTCTTACATTGAATACATGTGGTGCGTGCTCCTTCAGGTGGAATTGGATCTGGTTTGTTGAAGTGTTTCAAAACAATATATTGTTTTCATCCCTTTCCTTGGTTATTATCAGTAGCACCTCCATTTCGCTTCACATGAACAACATCATCTACATCAATCTTTTCCATATCAACATCATCATCAATGATGTTTAGAGGTTCACTAATTGGAATGTTGATGTTGTCTTTATCCATGTAAGGACTTGGAAAAAAAAAAGGCAATCAGAATTCAAAGTTGTGGACTCACCGAAATCAGATTAAGAGGTGATTATTCTTATCAATAGGTTTAGAAATAAATAAAAAGTCAACAACTCATTTCTACTTTTGTTCCGTCCGATGTTTGCTTCTGTTAAAAAAATCAAACTCACAATAATATGAGAGGTGATTGGAAATCGAAATCCAACTTCACATAATATTATAAGATTATCGATTGAGTGTAGCAACAAGTTTATAAAGAATTAGAATGAGAACAGTGAATAGAAATCAGATGTAGATGGATGGTAAAAAATTAGTTCAGTTGATTTAGAACATATCAGCATACCTTATCAGAGAAGGAGCCACGATAGAGAAACGAGAGGTGTAGTCGGACACTCGGAGCTGCAAACAGAGCCGAAATTGGAGCTGTTGCATGGGAGGCAGCAATTTGTAGTCAGGGGGCTAATACCTTTGGTCATCAGACCTGCTTTACGTCTTAGTTCTCACTGTCTCAGAATCTCAGACTCGGTAACTTGGCGACATGGCGTGGTGTGGCAACTGGAAACGATAGAGAAAACGAGAGAAAGGGGGCCTTTGCGTCTTTGCGAATTGTGATTACTCGATTAGGGCAAGCTGAAACGAATCAGTGAATCACGAATTCATGATTGCTTGGAGGTCGACTATCAATTTGGGCTCCGTGTACCAATTACCAAATCACAAAAGAAACTACAATTGGACTGTAATAATTAAATATTGTGGGTTTTAAAGTTTATTATTTGTATATAAAAATTAATATATATAATACAATAAAATACAATTACATATAAAAAATTAATTAATATATATACAAATTCTACGGTCCGGTTCAGTTTTTATACCGTTTGAAATCTTAAAAATCGTAAACCAAACCTTTCAATACTGTTTGAAAAGTTCGAAACCGCAAGCCAAACCGTAAAAAAAATACAAACCGTAAATCCAAATTTATGACCGGTTTGGCCGGTTTCATGGTTTCAAACCGAACCACAAACACCCCTAATATAAGGTGTTGTTTGTCATTTTATTTTATTTTTATTTAATTTTTTTAAAAAACTTCTTCAGACTTTTTATTGATGTGCGGTGCAACACACATGCAACACTTTTCATTTCGATGTTGTTTGTTTTTTATAATTCTTTAAAGTAAAAAAACTTATGTGTGTTCTATTTTTTGGGAAGCACTTATATTGCCTCTTCTAATATTTTTTTTTCTTGCTGAACTTTTGATGAAACTTGATTATATGTTACTGAAATCTTACTGAAATTTTGTTTCATTTTTTTTTGTTCAATCTTGCTAAATTATTATTTTTTTTGTTTTTTTATATTGAATAATGATAATTTCTTGCTGAAATATCATTGTTTTTTGCTGAAATATCATAAAATTTGTTGAAATGTTATACCTTATTAAATTTTTGGTATTAAAAAAACTATTTTCGGTACATAAAATTAGTTTATTTTAATTTTTTAATATTTGCAACAGCATCCAGATTTAAAAAAACAAACACGCTTCTTATTACAATTTGCAGTCGTTTGATCAACCTCTTCTGCTGCAGAGAATTGTAAGATGGTCTGCAGACTTCATGAGTTTTTGCTTCAAAAAAACAAAGAACACTTAAAAAAATAATTAAAATGGTTTGGTAATAGTAGCAATGAGTGACTCTTTCAACTGATGGGTCATGGGTTCAAGTATCGTTAGAGATATATGTAATGGTAATTTAAAACTAGAATACTTTGTTGTTCAGAAAAAGAAAAAAAAAGTTTAATTCTGTTTATTAAATGTAACAATTATCTACTTAAGGATATAAAAGACAAAGAAAAACAACTAAAAGGGTAATATAATTTTTATTTGTATATATTAAGTTATTATTATTATCATTATTTAATAAGCCTGTGATTTAATTGTTTTTATATACATTAAGTTCTTATGACCGACTACTCCATATTAAAATATCAATTTGTATACATTTAGTTATTAATATTTTTTTTTGCAAAATAATTTCTTATTGTTTTTATACACATTCAGTCTTTATGATAGTTTTCTTCAAGTTTTGCTCATGTACATCCTACGTGGGACAATCATTAATAAGGTATTTTCATATGTGGTTCGTATATGCAGTGGTATTATGTGTTACTTGTTTTGGTTTAGGTAATAACATTGTACTTTTGATATAAGTAATTATTATAATACAACATTAATTCTATTTAATACCACTACAAACTTAATTTAATAGCAATACTAACTATATTAAATCTTGTGGAGAAAATATGTAACAACTCGGAATTTCCAGGTATTTATTATTGGTGTATTTTTGGAGAATTGTGAGTGGACTCGGCGAGTTGGAGCTCAAACTCGCCGAGTAGGATCGCGATTTTGGACGCGGGTTCGCGTCTGGACTCGGCGAGTCCAAGAGTGGACTCGGCGAGTCCACGCTGTGTAATGAAACCCTAATTCCCAGGGTTTGAGACCTATTTAAAGGGCCTTATGGCCGTCATTTGTGCTCACCAATCCATAGAGAGAAACCCTAGAGTGCTTGAGCGTTTTGAGAGAGAAAGGAAGTCATTATTGACCTTTGTGGTGTTGTTTAGCAAGAAGAAGGAGGTCCTAACCAAGAGGAAGCAAAGGAGGTTGCTATACTGTGGATTTGAAGCTTAGATCATCGCACTTGAGGTATTAATTCAACTCATCTTCTGTTTTATGAAGTATATTTGGATTTAGTGTTTCTTGTGGCCTTTGTTGGGTTGATTTGATGGCCAAATAGTCCCTTTCTAGTGATGAGGCTTTGGATCTGGATCCATAGAGGTCCAAAGAGCCTCACCCATCAAGCTTTATGAAGAACAATAGAGGTTATGACCTTGAGTTGTGGTATTTGGGGCTAAATCATCATGTATGGTCATATAGATGTTGTATGTACATCAAGATAGTGACTTTACGTGATAAATAAGCTTGAAAGGACTGGATCTATGAGTTAGTAGAACAGATCTGACCTTAGGAGTGAGTTTGAGTCGTTGCATGGCATGGACTCGTCGAGTCCGAAGAACAGACTCGGCGAGTAGCATGAAGATTGCCCAGCACCACTCAGCGAGTGGTCTTGCCGAGTTGAGGGATTGACTCAGTGAGTCAGGGAGAGTCAGAGTGGGTTGATAGGTGGACTGAGTCAAGCTGGGACTCGCCGAGTTTTTCTTGAGACTCGGCGAGTTGAGTCGTAGAGGCCCCACAACTCATGCCAGGTGGAACTCGTCGAGTTAGGAGAATACTCGTCGTGTCAAGTAAGGATCCCAGGGAAATCAGTGTCTGCGTATAGACTCGCCGAGTCGCTATAGTGCACTCGCCGAGTCCGTTAAAGTTGGCCGTTGACCATTGACCAATGTTAACCTATGTTGACTTGTTAAGGGATAGTCAACCTTAGTTGGGAAAGTGTTAATTAGAGATGTATTGTGTTATAGGAGGACTATAGCTCGGGAGATCGAGCACTAGTGATTTCAGGGATTTACGAATTACTGAGATACGCAAGGTGAGTCTTCTCACTATACTTTACCTTGAGTAGGTAAATAGAGTTATGTGATACAGTGCTTGTATGATATATTTATATGTTATGTGTTGCGCTGCATTATTCTTTGTGATTTATGATGTGCATGTTTACAGAGTTAGAACCTGA